ATGGTTTCCAATACATTTTAGTGACGATTTACATGTTCATTAAAAAAAGGGGTTTGTATAATCTATAAATCCTTCATTTGGATCAAACTCCTTTGACAGCTTCCGGTGAAAAACACAAACAGCTTTTTGAAGGACGATTCCAGGGCTTGTAGAGTCGAATCACGACTCCAGGGCCTTCTTCAGGGCATTTCAGGGCCAAACCCAGACACTCCTTGCCTATGCCTAGGTCTCGTATGTGGATAGCCTGCTGGTCACCTTTTTCGGGGATTGGTTTCCCCTCTAAATATGAAAAGGTGTCAGTATGGATTCACATAAGGGATGGGTTCAGGTATGACTGGTAAATATGTCAGTTTGACCGGTCGCTTTTTGGTGGGGAGCCTTTTATTCGTGCCCCGAATGGATCCACCACGTCAAGAATCACATGGAACGGCCTGAAGAGGAAGATGATTTGATGATCTAGTCAGTGATGATGCTTTTCCCAGTTTCTTTTTGTCCCGGAACTATGTTTGTTGCTCTCATCTTGGTGGGACCCCCACGAGGATTTGGATGTCAATTGCAACTCCATGACCGAGCCACTTGGTCAAGAGAGAGAGAGAGAGAGAGAAAAAAAAAAACAGAGACAGAGGGGATCTACAGAGAAACACCTTGGCGTCGGAACTGGAAAAGATATGGTACAGTCGCAACATATCAAAGACCTGACCTGAGCTATATATTATATACTCTCGACTAGTGACAAAGTGTAAAACGTATGGTGGGTTTTACAACTCCTTTATCATGGGTCTTAAAGCATTTTTGAGCAATGTACACAACTCCTATGTCATGGACTTTAAAGTAGAGAAACACATCAAAACATGGTCATACAAGAATAGCTTAAACAAATCCAGAAAGCTGCCGGAAAAGATGAATAAATGACGTGAGATAGGAGTTGTAAGTACCAGGAGGCATGATGAAACATGATGAGATAGGAAAGGAATGAGAAAAGACATATTACAAACGTCTTATGTCATGTAACCAGGTTCAGCAGGGAAGCCAGAATTTGCGCAGCCATTTGGCCTTCAGTTGGCTGGCAGAGGAACCTTGGGAATGGAGAAGGCCGGACATACATTCGCATATATAGATATGTGCAAGGTGTGTGTGTGTGCATATGTATATATATATATGTATATATATGCTAGCCTCTAGTGACTAAGGAGTTGACGGAGGCACATGCCAATTTAGCATCCTGACTTTGCTGCAAATCCTTACTCGTCACCCAAAACATTTCGAAAACAACCAGAATTTGAGTATGCTCAAACAGTTCCTAAAGGATAATGTTTTCGTGGCTTGTGGACACAATGCCCACATGAGTTAGGAGGTGTGTCCAGATGAGAAGACAAGTGTCAGATTTGGCTGCACGTCTTGAGTTGACGTGGTTTGAATGATGCTGCCCGCGGCCGGCTGCATCATTAGCATGTTTTTTTGACTGAAAAAACATATATATTAAATATATCTGGCTTTTTAAGCGAAAAAAGAGAGACTGGTCGGCCAATTCTGGACAAAAAGATCAAACAGGCCAATCGAGATGGCAGCTCACGGTTGGAGAAGAAAGCTAGGAGAGTACCAGATTTCATGGCTGGCGCAGGGTCAGGTGACAAAAACAATTGTTATGTGGAGTGGTGAGTTAGGAGTTGTGGGCTAGATGAGATTTCATGGCTGGGGCAAATGCAAGGTCAGCCGACAAAAAGATGTGTTTCTTTGGTGTTGCCGCAACTCCTTACTCATGCTTGTAGTGTCATTGCGTTCGCAGCGATTTATGATTTTCCTTTTTTGGCCGCGGGGTGTCTTCCATACACAACTCCTTACTCATATGCCCGCCACATACGCTTGCTGGGCATTTTTTATGTACATCCACCTGTCTGCAGACACATGTGTTAGGAGTTCCTGCGCCCACAAGACAAACTCATCTGAGGCACAAATCCTTACTCATCAGAGGGTAGTATATATATATATATGCTTGAGAGGTGTCGGCAAGCCAGAAAAGACCAGCTTTCAAGCCTGCTCTGCTTTGCACAGGGGCCGGATGGATTCAGAGATGTTTGCGAAGAGGAGGCTCAGCCTTGGACTTCTTCTGGGGGGTGGGCGCAGCTCTTAACATCCCATTTTATGACTGGCGAAACGTTCATCATTTTGCTACACGGCCTCATTAGCCCGGCGTTGGCCCTACAGAGGATCAAGCTCGGCCTGCCACATGACAAGAAAGCCCTTCTTTTATGCGACGCGTGGTCAGGCTTTCACACCTTCAAAGGCGGCCTGGACGCTATCAGGGCCGCATGGAGCGAGCAAGCTCACTGTGTGCTTCCAGCTGGATTTTGAACCTGTGAGTGTGTGACCACTAGTCCTATGTCATGGTGTTGGTTTACAACCTGTGGTTGTTCATATATGTAGATATACTGTGTATGTTTGCGTGCCCGCTTCGCATTGTCAACTCATGAGGCTGGCGGGTTTAGCGCCAACGGCCAGCCAATAGACCAAGTACACCATTTGTTGAGGGCTCGGCTAGAACTGGTGGACGCCGATGACATCGCATGTGAATCAGATCTACACCGGCGTCCCCGCTGCTTGGCCCATGGCTCACGCTTTCTTCTGTGTTTGGGAACAGTGACGATGACCTGAGACTTGTGCCTCAGGCTACGATGCCCTCCCCATAGCGCCGAGCGGACAGCCTGCCCGTCCCAACAGCTTCAATCACCATACCCTTCTGCTACGAACACTGCGAGCATGGGAGAGCGTCCCTCGCAAAGCATGTGTGGCGGCTTGGATTGTGACTGGGTATTTCGCGAAGGAGCACTTCGACCCTGAAGTTGGATTATCGCCTGAAGAGGCGACAGCGTTCCTGGACGACACAGGCATGCTCAGAACGATGGGCATCAAGAGCGATCTAGCAGGCCAAGCGCCTAAGACAGACAGGTGCGTGGGAGCAATCTTGTAGGAGTTGCGGGTCGCTTTCCTGCATGACAAAAACCATTCATGATGCAGGGGAAGCACCCCCGGACAGACCGATGACATAGGAGCTGTGGGTCATGGAAAGTATGCACCTTTTTTGTATAACAAAAAAATCATGAGACCTGGTGCAAGGTGGTATTGGGCTTTGAAGATGGTCAACGACCGTGGGAGTGAAACCTTCAGGCGCAGCACTTCGGACATGGTGGTGATCCTGGACGCGCTCTAATTTCGTGACAGGTGCTGTGAATTCGTCGTGAGTTTTGTACATGTGCTTCGTTTTCACAGAGTGTGGCAGGCGCAGTACTTTGTGAACCTCGAAGTGCGGATTTCGTGGCAGGCGCAGTATACTTTGTGGACCTCGGAGTGCAGATTTTGTGGCAGGCGCAGTCCTTTGTGAACCTCGAAGTGCAGATTTCGTGGCAGGCGCAGTATACTTGACTTAGTGGACCTCGGAGTGCAGATTTCGCGGCAGGCGCAGCGCTTTGTGAACCTCAAAGTGCAGATTTCGTGACAGGCGCAGCGCTTTGTGAACCTCGAAGTGCAGATTTTGTGGCAGGCGCAGCACTTGTGAACCTTGAAATGCAGATTTCGTGGCAGGCGCAGTATACTTTGTGGACCTCGGAGTGCAGAAGTCGTGGCAGGCAGAGCGCTTTGTGAACCTCGAGGTGCAGATTTTGTGAACCTCGAAGTGCAGATTTCGTGGCAGGCACAGCACTTAGTGAACCTCGAAGTGCAGATTTCGTGGCAGGTGCGCAGCACTTTGTGAACCTCGAAGTGCAGATTTCGTTGCAGGTGCGCAGCACTTTGTGCTCTCAGATGCGCACTCTCTCACTCTGATTTGTAGACTTTCTGCTGCTACACCATGCTGCACCTCTAGACCTCACGCGCACACTGTTTGGGGTCTCTCGCCGGGATAATTTTGATCATGGGCCGACTGCTCTTGAGATTGCTGGGACTTGAGCCCACCAGCTTGGAGGTGGACGCCCCACGAGAACATCACCTTCTTTCATGTCTCTATCACTTCCGTTTCACTGCCACGGTTGGTCTGACGACCCGGTGACCCGATTTCTCGCCATTTCTCGCCATTCAAATCACAGCTTTGAGCAATCAACACACAAATGAATGTGAGGGTTCTCGCCACTTTCTCGCCCTTTTCTCCGCCACTCCAAGGAGGGTCTCGGCTTTGCGGAACGCCCTCGAGGCGGGGAAACCGTGGCGGGTGCGGCGGGAGCTGGGCGTCGGGGTTGGGTAGGGCTTTGCATGTGTTTGCGGAATTTCAATGTCCCTGTGGTTGAGTCCCCTAACCTCGTGATGTTTTCTCCTTTTTCGGGTTTCTTAAGCAAATCCAAATTTGGTGTGTCGCATTCCAGCAACAGTTGAGCGCTCAGTTGGTCAACAAATGTCACTTTTGGGAAAGGTTTTAAATTTTACACAACAAAAAATTACCGGGCACGGCAAGTGGGATAAATATAAATATATATATATATAGTAGAAATGGATGAAGTCCAAGACAGCCAAAACATGATGTTCTAGAAGTGGTTTCTCCTCATGGGAACTGTAAACTGCACGTGGGGACTGCGAAGTAGCTTCAACAATGTGTTTTGTTCCGGCTCGCACATTTGATGCCTTTGGGGGTTTTGAAGTGGAAACGCTAGATTGCAGAGGATACATCATGCCCACATCATGTATGAACCATTTATAAATATGACTTAAACTAGGGTCACAATGGGGTAAATGTTTGTAACTCTTCCAATGCCATGTATGCTTTGGGATATGATGCTATACTGGTGCAATTCTGGGCATGTTCAGCATGCTCTCAGCTTTTCTCCCTCCAAAATTTGTTCAGAAGAATATGGTACCCTGAAATGAAGATGGAAGGTTTCAAGTTTCATTTGGTGGTTTCTATTCTGTCTATAGGTGATTAATCTCTCCCTATCTGGCACGGCACTCCGGACTCTCGGCCTGCCCAGCGGGAGAGCGGAGAAAAGGAAGTTCGCGCCCGAACTGCGGATGGATCGATTTGGATCTGGTTTTGGTGGGCAGAGACACGTCCCTGAACTATATATTATATAGTCATGCATATCTTGGATTTGCTCGTTTCGGAAGCTTAACAAAAAAACGTTTAACAGCTATTTCCCGGTGCCGGGGATTTACCCATATCAATAGGGAACAGAAAACATGACCTGATCAGCCAAAACCTAGGGTATACGTCTTTGTGACTGGAATTCACCACCCGTTTGGTCTTTGGATCTTCAGGGGTTGAGAGCGCAGAAATCGATGGCATAGTGAGTTGTTGACCGAGCCAGCCTGGTGGGTCGAGAGCGCCACGAACCTTGCTCCATTGCTCGGTCGCACCAACAAGCTCGGTCCGAGCGATCCAATCTGATGGATGTGCCGGGGTGTTCGCAGGTTTGGGTCAGATCATGCTATTGATCCTGTCCACCTATTAAAAAGAACATGCCGCCCCCCCGAAACCGAGACTCGGGATTATGTACCCACCCAAACCGAGACTCCGAAGTTGGACGCTTCCCACCACCTCGGTGGACTCAAACGGATCCAACGGCCGGCCCACTCAGACGCTCCGCTAGGGCGAGCGCGGCGAAAATGGCCGCCGCGCCCTGCGGCTGTGCGACCAGCAGCGGCGCACCACGAGGCGGCGTCACGGTCGGGGATGAGGCCCTGAAATCGGGAGGAGAGGAGCGAGGTCACGTTTTCTATTTGTTTCATGTGTTGAGAGGCAACAAGATGAGCTAATAATTGACATTGAGTGGAAGATGTTTGTCATTTGTTGCTTCATGTGGTTCCTAAACATTTGAGCAAAGTGCTGAAGGTCAGCGGTCAACGCTCACGTTTCTTGGATACAACACCTCTTCGATATGGGAGATTGTATTCCTCACCATTGCGAGAGTCTCGCAACGACACCCACTCTGGAGATTAGCGTAATTTGTGAAAAGCTAAAGAGGAGACATGCAACTAATTAGGCACCAAAGGTAAAGGGATGTCCCACGAACAAAGGGGACGAGCAGCTCCATTGTCAAATCGCTCGTCATCACTCATATACATTATACATGTCAACTGCAGCAAATGTTCCTTTTGGAAGGACTCTACTTCACGACTTGCTGTCATATGTTGTCATGGGGGATTGTATTCATGAAGAAATCTACATGGTGTTAGATTTCTCGATTTGGACTGGTATATTTCACTGAGTGCTGGATATACCCATCATTTGGCAGCAGCTTGCACACCTAGGTGACCAAAAGAAACTTGAGTACCCAAGCCATCCATGGGGCTCGAATTATTATATATTACTCCATTTATGACCCCCATTGTGTGCAACTATTGTTCCATCATATTCCTTACATGGATGGTTTGGGCATGTAACTTCATGTAGCCCTGCTTCTGCGATATCTACTTTCCCAGGTTTCGTAGGTGTTCCTCACCTGCAGGTCACCTTTTGGGTGGATTGCACCCCACGAAAATAGGAAGAGGCAAACTGAGGGGCTAGGAAGAAACTTGGCAAAGCCATCCCCTAAAACTCCAAGGACCTTCTTAGAAGGTGTTTGGGGTGGGCCCAGTCATACCTTCTAAGGAGGTACTTGGAGCCCTAAAAAAACTTGGTCAGTGTTGGGAACCTATGCCATAACTGTTTTGCAAGGGATGTCCGAGTGTTTGGAGATCTCTAACGTAGTAAAAGAAAGGCTTTCATTGGTGACCCCTCTGAAGGTGCTATGAATCTTCACATTTCCAGTGTTCTGCCCGTATTTGGGGCACACACAAAATCTCATCAGCCCAGCCACCCCAGCCCAGCCGCAGTGCTTGTACGAGGCTTCATGAGGCTTTGTGCCGGCTCCAAAGCGAGCACTTCCGCACCCGCCCCCTGGGCTGCACACGTTCTCCCGCCCGGGCGCGCGGGTGTTGACGCGGACGGCGTTTCTTGCCGCGAAGCGGCGAGACCAGTTCTGGAGGGAACGGTGGTTGAGGTTTCAAAGGATTGTGGATTGAGGTCTAAGAATGGGGCCTACGTGGACGGGCCTCTGACTTGTGGGCCTCTGAGCGTAGGTGGAACGGGACCTACGCTCAGCGGGCGATCGGTGGAACGGTGCAAAGAGGTGAGACGTATACAACGTTGGTTGTTGTGGTGGCGGTGGCGGTTGGTGTTGGTGTTGTGGTTGGGATTGTTTAGTTGATGCAGTTTTTGTGGTAGTAGTAGTAGTAGTAGTAGTAGTAGTAGTAGTAGTAGCAGTAGCAGTAGCAGTAGCAGTAGCAGTAGCAGTAGCAGTAGCAGTAGTGGTAGGGGTAGTGGTAGTGGTAGTGGTAGGGGTTGTTGTTGTTGTGGTTGTTGTTGTTGTTGTGGTTGTTGTTGTGGTTGTTGTTGTGGTTGTTGTTGTGGTTGTTGTGGTTGTTGTTGTGGTGGTTGTTGTGGTGGTTGTTGTTGTTGTGGTTGTTGTGGTTGTTGTTGTGGTTGTTGTTGTGGTTGTTGTTGTTGTGGTTGTTGTTGTGGTTGTTGTTGT